TGAGAGGGCAGCGCTCAAATGGGGAGCGCAGGAGCGAGTGTGTGGAGATATATATTGACTGGGAGCAGTGCCCGGAGGCACTACAATACAGCAGCCCACCCTCCACCCTCCACCCTCCACCCCCCGCTCTACATTTTGCGAACACGTCTCGTTCCTCCGTCGTCTTCACAGCACCGCAGGATGTTGTGAAAACCGCAGACTTTCTACTTTCCCAGCGAGTCACGCTCAAAGGACGACTCTGCCGGAGCTGCAGCCAATTATACCTCCCAGCAAGGTGTAGTGGATGGCAGCCGTCATCAGTGCAGGCAGACGCCAGAGAAGCAGACAGTTCTGCCGGTTCCTCAGAGTATCCTTGAGTCATATGGCGAGGAAGCATGACGGATATTTAATTAGTGTATTACTATCTGCGGCGCAGTACAGTGAGGAAAACTTGAACTTGTGACCGAGCCGTGGAACAATAATGAAAACGATCCCAAGTGTTTATTTGGATCAAGTAAGAGAGTGAAACCATAAAAATCCTGCAGCTGGTTTCCGTTAAATTTTCATCCAAGAAAATCTTTACGACCTACAACTGTTCAGACGACAATCCGGAAATATATTATAGGACACGTACAGGATGTTGGTATTTGCAGTTCCATTTGCAGAGGCTGTAATTATTAAATTAAGTTAAATTCAATTCAATTATTTCGACATTTAAACAACAAAGCCAGATATTTGCTAGTGAAGAGAAGCTGCTTATAATCTGTATTTGTTTGGCTCAAAGATCGTAAATAAAGACAGATGATGCGTCTCCACTTCCTCCCGTTCGACAAAAATGAAGCCTAAAATATCGTGAATACCAAAGCTGCCATCTTTTGACGTCATCAGTCAGAGTCCGTGCAGCAGTGATCGTGGTATCGAGGTCAATCGTGACGAATTAAAACTAATAACCAATTAAAACCTTTAATTTTTTTAAGGTTTGCTGCTTTAATATTCATTTACAGACGCTGCTCATAAATAAATACAACACACAAACACATACTCAGGCCCTGCCTCAGCGTTCCACAGCATTAATGTCCGATAATGTTGCCTGATATAGTGTTTATCTTTACCACCAGGCTCCTTTATTATCGGTGATAATGAAAATAGATTTAGTAACATTAGTTTAGTAACATTACAAGCAAAATGTATTTGTAGTCTAATTGCCACCGATGACTTGATGCCTTAATATGACTTTGCATGATGACTAGTTTCTCAACCATTAAGTATTTTGCAGGATAAACGACTGTATAATATATTACGCTGGATTATAAAGTTTATAATAATAATAACTTGACATCTTAGGAACCATTGCCAATTTTACACGCATGTCTATTGGCCAATTCATCGGTATTGGAAATGTTTGACTCCATAATCCATATTTATCAGGTTCTACACCACAGCGTTTGTGACACACACACACACACACACACACACAAATACAATGGGATTAAACATCATTCACCCTTGACCACATGTGAGCACTATCACAAAATGTCCTGGTCAATAAGACGACAGTGTTTAAGCTGCAAAATGAACGATCTATCTAAAGCTTTAAAAAAAAAACAAGTTCTCAATTTATATGCTAATGTGTCATGTCCTTATGTATTAAATCATCAGCGCTGTCACTGCTACACAAGGGCAACTAAGCAGTTTTCATCCCATTGACCTCAAAGTCCCTCCAGACAACAAGGCACTGCTCCATTCATCCTTCTCTTCCTGACCTTCATTCATTTCCATCATCGTGATGTGGGACATGAGGACCCTCTTAAATCTTCACCTGTGCCACCGCTGCTCAGCGGCCTGGAAAAGCATCACCCATGATTTTATCATCCATGATCATGAATAGAGGCTATAAAAACAGATCAACCAGCAGTAAGAATACAAACATCCTATTCTTTTAAGTGTTTAGCATTTTACCATGTTTATAAAACCTCCTACAAGAGTTTTATTCTTCCTAGTATCCTGACAATAAGTGTATAAATGGGAGCTTGTTAGCGTGTTGAAATGCTAACACCTGTTATATTACACACTGATAAGGTATCATTTAATATTTGGAATGTTAGGATTAATAAAGAATGCAAGTAACGAAGAAAGAAATTAAAAATATGTATTGAAATAAAAATGTTATAAAGCGCTATTTGAGAAAATCCTTGTCAAGATGAAGGTTAAGTGATGAAGATGACTTTTTCTTTTCTTTATTTTTTTTTTTCAAATCGCTCCCAGCAAAAATCCAAATTCGTAGAATTTCAGTCTCCTGAGATCTTCTCTACTTGAGGAAGGAAAACATGTCACCGCTCCGTCTGGCGCTCCCTCCACCTATCGACTCTCTTCAGATCTTTACCATCGTCACCTCTCGTACTCGAGAGACTGAAAGCACTTCAACTCCCGGCACTTACGTCTCCCCCCCAATCCATCTACATATCAACCTCTGGCTGCCGTCATCGCTCCGCTCTGCCCTTTCACTCCCGCTCTCATTCGCCTGGCAGTATCCCTCCGTCTCTGAGAGCTGGAAACAGCAATGAACAGACAGGCGGACGGAAGGCGAGAGACGGAGATCGCCTTGAGGGTTTTCTAACTCTGTTTTGTTCTGTAACTCCATCCCATCAAATCGCCATCTCTTCCGCGCTCATGCTCCCTCCATCCCTCTGTCTCTGCATTTGTTTCTCTCTGTCCCATTGAATCTCTCTTTCACGTCTGCTGGCTTTGTATCCGCTCACACTTGTTCCAGCTCATCATCTCACTCAGTTCCATTCTTCTCCTTCCCGTCTCGTTCCCTTCTTTTCCACGTATCTCACCCGCTCACTCACCCTCCCTCGGCTTTCACTACGTCTGTTTTCTCTTGCGTTCATCCTCTCGCTCTCACTCTCCTGTCACAAGTCCCACGAGGACAGCGAGTCCCTCTAATTGCTCAAAAAGAAATGTCGTCGAGCCGGATCGCTTGTGTGTGTCTGTGTGAGTCTGTGTTAACGGATATATCGTAACTAGGGCAGAAGTTTCTAGTCAATTATCCTCAAATGGCTGCAGGTTTGATTCCATAATTTCAACAGCATAAACCACAGACTCTACGCCGACGTGTAAAACTGCAGTTGTTTTTCAACCATGCTCATCGATAACCAACCAGTGAAAGTGCGTTTTCATAAATGATATAAACAAGCAAACATTGGGACTGTGCATTTCCCTGCACAAACACAACCGTGGCCGTGGTCACGCCAACAAACAAATTGTATTTTTCTCATTTACCAAAGACAACACAGTAGTTTCAGCTGGTCCCTACCTCTTTTTGGTGATATTTGATGGCCAGTTTGAGTTTGGCCAGGTCGTGGCACTGTCTGGGGTCTAGCTCCTCGCTCTGGTCGTTGTCTCTGTGGTTCAGGATGGTCTCGAGTTCTCTCGAGCTCCTGGCCTGGTCCAGTAGGTCTTTGGCGAACCGTTTGCACTGCTGGGACAGCTCCTCGTACTCCTGACGAAACTCATTCTCCACCTGAGAGGGGGAAGATGTTACAGGTCAGAGCTCTTAGTCGTAGATTTCCGTGGTCCAATGGCCTCTCCCTCTGTAGAACTGCTGGTTAAACTTGGCCCAGATTAATTACCACAGAAACCTTGATAAGCTTCGTGGCTCGCAGAACTGTTTGCAAAGAAAAAGCTAAAGTACACAGTTAAATCAGGGAGCACGGTTCATTAAAATAGCACCAGTAAAAGAAGCGCTAGAGACAAATGAGTAGCATATAAATGAACGTTAAATCCACAGAGGACTTAGCAGCCCATCAAGTTGAGGATGAGACCTCCAGTGAAGTTCCCTTGGCTGTTTGGAGAATCGATGCTGAGGAGGACTGAAGATTCTCTGGAGCCTCCTGTAGTCGACCAGTTGTTCAGTGTGACAAAGTGGGCGTCTCGTTAAAATGAGAGAAAGTTGTCTCCTCCACCTCTGTACCTTGCTGAGCTCCTTGAGCTCCCAGCCCAGTCTGAAGGCCGTGAGGATGGGATCTTCACTGGACAACGCGATGAGGGACGGTGAGGCCAGAGCCTTGTAGATGTTGAGTCGAGACCGTGAATGCCGAAGACTGTCAACCTACAGGAGGACGCACAGATTAAAAAAGAGGTCAACGATTAAAAGAACCATTTTTTAATTACTATAACAATGAAGTTCGTCTTCCAATGTATGAAAGAAAGAGCTGCAGTTTTTAGTTTCTAATTAAACTGTGTCTTCTAAGTTAATCGATTTGGAGTTTAATCTATAGAACAACAAATAATGGTGAAGTTGCCAAAAGTATTTTTTCAAATCTGAACACATTTTATTTACATGACAAAGAGCAGCATAAAATCTCCACATTGACAAATACAGAACCAGAGCATGTTCGCTGCATTTGCTCAAAAAAGAAATCATAATTTAATGTTAGCAGTTGACTGTCATGTTAATGAGCTGACTAATTGTTGCGGCTCTTTGCAGCGCTGAACAAACTGTGTCCACAGCTGTGCCCAAAAACTGTCAGGAACAAAAAGTTGTCGCTGAATGCAGCTGATCAGTCTTTCATCTTCTCCGTTTCTTGTGTTCGTGTCGAATAAAACATTGAATTCTGACACACTGGTTTCTAAAAACGTCCTATTCACCACAGAGATGAACTGGATCAACGGGTTCAGACCTCAGTGTGTTGTGTTGAGTCCTGAGGTCATGTAAAAATATATATATATTCCTGTGTCCTCAGTGTGATACTGCGACAAGATGAAAATAAATAATGTGGTGTAGTGTAATTATCACTCACCTCTGAGCTGGAGACACACTCGACACAGTCACATCGTATCTGGTGTGGTCTGGGAATAGTGACCTACACAGAAAAACAGAACAATACATCACCCAGCTGATAACTAATCAATGACATATAGTTTGAGTCAGTTCTTCTATAAGTCATTAAGTCGGCTTAATTTTCAATTAAGTATTTGATTCTATGTCTAAATTTGTAAATAAAGATGGACGACAGAATAGCTCCCAACAGTGAAGCTAAAGCATCTCAACTGCCCCCTGGTGGCTGGTGTCGTCCATGTTAGCAGATGGGGCGTGCACTAAACTAAAAAGTCAAAGCAGACGTCGAACCATCACCTTCCGCTGGACGAGCAGCTTGATGATCTCGTAGTTGTTGGTGTGAGCAGCGAGCATGATGGGAGTTATGTCTGGGGTGAACTCTGAAAACTGGCTGTCCATCATCAGCGAGGGAACCTGGAGAAGAATGAGGAACGAAAAAACAAAACTCAACCGTTGTGAGATGATGGATTCTTGAATCTAATGATAAAATCTCAGTTTAATATTGTTTACGAAACCTCCTCATTAGTGCGGCAGCAAAACATCTAACACCAAACAGGAAGAACTCAAAGCACAAGACACATCAGCAGCAGGACGAATCAAATTAAACTCACTTGAGTCAGAATTGTGTTTTTAATAAATGTTCCAAAACCATTTCTTCCATCCTGATACTGAAGTACTGATGTGGTATCGGTGCAGTTAAAAGAATAAAAACTTCTATAACATATTTTAACAGCTGTGAGGTTCTAACACAACAAAACACACATAAATAAATCTAGGAATACTCGACAACCACTTATATAGAAGCAACACATTTAAATGAAAAAACATAAAGCAATCAAATCATTTAATACTGACACAAACACACACTCACACATGCACGCACGTTCGATTCCCAGACATCAGAGGAAGGATTGAAAGGAAGAGCAGTGAACGAGGGAGGAGGAGGGACGAGTGGAGCAAACACGTGTGGACTCTCTTTCATCTCTCAGAGGGAGGATGAAGCCGAGTGCTTCTCCTCATCTCATCTTCTCTTTGTCGCTATCTCCTCCTTCACCTCCTCCTTCACCTCCTCTCCCTACGTCTTTCATGCTCTCTTCATCACGTCTCTCTCTCTCTTCCACTTCCCTCCCTCCCTCCTTCCCTCTTTTTCTCCTGCCAAAGCCCTTTTCATCTGATCTCTCTTATTTCTGCAGGAGCGATGAGGGCTCATGATAACATCTGTCGCAAACTCACCAACGAATCCGCTAATGATTAAAGACACACATGCAAATATAAACAAATACAGAGAAACGTGATCGAAATACAGTTTGAGCTGATTTGGATTTAATTTGGTGATTTTTCCTGCTTCCCCCTCCATTTTGAAACTCACACTTTAAAACATTGTTAGCTTGTGTGTGAGAAACGCAGAGGAAAAAGTTTGTTTTTTAAAAAATCTGCATTACTGTGTTGAACCTTCTACTTTTTACGTTCGACCTTTCAAACACTCGGTCGATGTCGTTTCTCTGCGTCGCTGAAAGAAGTTTCTGATTTCACCAAACAAACACTTGAGACCAGCGGAATGTAGAACTGTAAAGTCGCTGCTGGTCAGTAAAGGATCAGACGTCTGTGTTCTTTGGATTTGACTGGTTTTCATGCAGTGATTAAAGTTAATATTGACTGAAGTGAGATTTGAAAGGTCTACAGAGATTAGTTTGTGCTGCTGTTTGACTTTAAATGTCATAAAAAGACCGAAACCAAGAGTTAGATTTCAAAGCCACCAAGATTTTCTTTCAGATAAAAGTTTTTTGTTGCAGTGAGTTTGACCGCTGGCGTGTTGACTCACAAATCTTCTGACTCTACAGACGTCACTTCTCTCTCTCTTCATCTTCTTTCTCTTCTGCATGCCCGCAAACTAACATGGCTGCTGTTCCTATGTGTGTTTGTCATATAAAATTTGGACAGACTGCTGCGCGGGACAGAAAACGATCGAAAGAAGCGTTTTGTGTCCTTAATTATAAAAATGCTGAATTTTCTGAACCTCCGGGACGACATGCAGCTCCATCGCCTGCCATCAGAAACAAAAAGGGAAAATGATTAAGAGACGTGGAGGTGAAAGAAAACAGAAACACGGCGAGAGCAAATTTGTTCCCGTCCCTCGTCCAGCTGAGAGCAGACCAAAAAAAACCTTCCCACAATCCTCTGCTTCGGCCAAGGGTTGGTTGCCATGGCACCGCGGCACCTCGCAGCCTCAGACGGTCCAAAAATGTATTTAAAATAAGACATCTCTTTTTCTCTTTCATATTCTTTCATTTAAAAATATCTCCTTCTTCCCTACCCCCTCCTCTCTCTCTCTCCTCTGATCTCCTTTCTTGTCCAGAGTCTCTCATCCTCTCTCTCTCTCTCTCTCTCTTCTATCTTTCACTTTTACTTTCTCTCTCCTCCTCGAGGATCTTCAACACCTTCAAGTTAACCAAACTGTGCAACATGTTCTTCCTCTCTCTCTCTCTTTTGCTCTTGCACACACACAGTCTGTCTCTAAATCCTATTTCACAGTTTGTCTATAAAACGAGCTGTTTAATTTCCCTCCTCAGCAGAATCACAATGAATAAATGTGCTGCTCATTATCCACACACACACACACACACACACACACACACACACACACACACACACGCATGCACTAAAATATGGAAAGTACACACACACGGTCATGCATGAATGCACCTGAATGCCACAAATTAACATACGACCATGAATCCATTTCTCTCTCTCATTTGTTTAAACACACACAAACACACACACACACACACACACACACACACACACACACACACACACACCTGTTTCTCGCCGCTGGGCCTCCTGTGCGACAGCAGCAACTCCACGGCGCCCACCACCTCCTTCCTGATGGCGTAGAGCAGCGCGTCGCCCGTGTGAATGCCGTGGTCGAGCAGCAGCTCCATGATCTCCAGGTTCTCGTTCTCGATGGCGATGAGGAGCGCGCTGCGGCCCAGCGGGTCCAGACAGTTCACGTCCATGTTGTAGTAGACCTCCGCCTCACGGAGGGCATGTTTGACACCCGCATAGTCGCCTGGAGCGAGAGGAGGGGAGGGAGAGGAGGGGAGGGAGGGGAGGGAGGGGATGACGGTTAGCGTTTTTCAACTGGACCTGACTCAAGTCTGATTCGAATGATGTCCCTCTGCGTCGTCATGACATCATCGGGACGTCATCATGACTCACAGCAAGACCATGTATGTGTGTTTAAATTGTCATACAAATTGAAGCATTTCTTGAAACCTTCGTCATGTGAGTCCAAACACCACAATAAAATATGATTCTAGAACATACTGATATCAAGAGGACTCATTTGGCTCGAGCTGAGCAGCACTTAACAGGAGGAGGCGTGACTGGAATCGGCTGTGATGCCGAGTTTGTGTTTCAGCTTCGTGTTCAAGGACAGTGACGCTTCGGCAGCGTCTGACTGTCTCAGCATCGTTTAACGGGTGAGAGCATCAGGAAGACAGAGGAGTGGAAAGAAGCGACAGAGATGAAGATAAAGAGACAAGTGTGTGTTTGTACCTTTCTCCACAGCGGTGAGGTACGCCCTCTCCTCTGTAGACAGCTCCACCTCAGCCCGCACGATCTGCAGAGGGATGCGGTCGCGGTACGGCGAATACGTCGCCTGCACATCAAGAACAACAACAAAATAACAATACGACACAAGTTACATGTCTCTGAATCAACACTGACCCAGTTAGAGGAGAAGAAAGCTTCAGTTTTCACAGACTTCAGGTTTAGACAATAATAATAATAATAAACGTAATTTATATAGAACCTTTCATAACAAAGTAAAATACAAAACCGGTGGTTAAAAACTGTTTAAACTAACTTTTCAAATGCTCATTTGTTTGATTGAAGTGATGAAGATGAACAGATTTTGAGGAGGAGCCCTGTTTCCTCTCATCGACAGCTCATCAGTTAACACAGAATCAAACCTGCCGACACAGTGAAACTGATCTGAGTCAAATAAGCTTTCGATGAAAATAGGAGGAGGATTCACCGACAGCAGGAGGACTGAACAGAGCTGCGTCTAACGGCCTGAAACCGTAAATATTTCACTCTCACTGTGTCGTTTAAACTGAGTCGTGAGGAAAATAAATCTTGTTTGTTTATTTGCACCAAAAAAAAGTGAAGCCCAGTCAGTCTCACAGGAGGAGGAGTCGTTTTTCATGCAGCGCTGGACATTTTATAAACCTTTCAATGGGCCGAGACGCCGCCATCCGTCATCGCCTCCGAGACGCGAGACGCGCTGGTCACACGCGAGAACATGAATCATGGAGGCGAAGTAACCATGAAGTTACTGTGAGGAACGTCGGAGGGTGACGGTGACACGCTAACGGCTGGTTTCACCTCGCAGCGACGGGAAAAGCAAAGGAGTGATGGATGGAGCCGCAAGTTTTGTGTTCACTTCCATCTTTGTGACGACCAGAGAGGGTTTAGATCCATCTTCAGACTTTGTGTTTGTGCATGAGGGCGATTAATGCAAGATCATATGTGTGTGTGTGTGGGACTCACCTTCTTGTAGTACAACTGTGTCATGGGATTCATCTGGCCTGTCAGGAAAAAAAAAGGGAGAAGAGCAGAAGAGTTACGACTTAGTGAGAGTAGAAGTCAGTGATAAACGTGTTCGAGGTCATCGTGATTACATCCTCAACGCCGACACAAACCTGCGATGGAGCAAACAACTTGACCTCACATTTAAATGTTGGAATTTAGATGAAAACACGAGACACGTTGACCCGGTCTCGTTACGTGACGCTCGTGTGTGTGAGCAGCACGCTCTCGCCCCACGTTCACTGTCTCGCTGCCGATGACAGATATGCTAATGTCACAAATGTGGGTTAGGACTTGGTTTGACTCCGAGAACTCTGCATTTGGACGCGGCTGTAATTGGTCGGGAGGAAAACGCTGATGGAGCACGGAGATATTTTTAGAGGCTCTGTTGTCTGAACATGAAGAATCGGAAAACACACACAGTCTGGAGCCTCCTGGTTTGGAGGAGGTGAATAAAGCGAACAGGTCTGAATGTCACAGAGCTCATACCTGCACCTCCTCAGGACAGTTCTTAAATTCAATCAAGCTTTATC